GTTTAGGCCTTGTTCGGTTGCGTGTGAATCCGAGTGAATTGAAGGGGTTTGAGGGGGACTTAAACCTCTTATAAGTCAAAATACGAACCAATCCTTGCCAATCCCCTCCAATCCTCTTGGGGAGAGGATTAAATGAACAAACCCTTAATTAGACACTCTAAGCAATGAAGTCCAGCAGTGATGTGGCGATCCGAAGGATCTGTAGTGTATGTGAGAGAATCATGCGAATGATTTGCTAGATTTCTGAGGATGCTTCCCCATAAAACTGAACACCGCACTCTTGATTTCTAGCTGTGAAGCTGCCTGATTCTTTCTGCAAGGACGGTTGATGTGTTTTATTTAAGAAATTAATCAAAATGGGCAATGACTGGTTGAAAAAAAAAGCGTAAGCATGGTTGCTTCAGGCCAAATTCCTCCAGCGTTCGTTCTTTATTCCTTGCTCCCTCTTCCCACTTTTGGGGTTAATTCTTTCGTTCGGTTTCCATCTTCTGTTTACTAACTTATGCTACGACAAGTCCGCCGATGTATAAAAGTCGATAAGATAGATTGCAAAGAAGCGATGTGGGACTATTATATCTACAGGGACACAATTTTGCAGAACAAAATAGAGCAGCTGAGTTGGCGTCGTCCTTCGGGACGGAGGGCCTTGCTCGTGGGTTTGAAGCTCAGGTGAAGTATTTTTTGCATCTTTTTTTTTCTTTTTGACCAAGCCCAATTCAGTCATCACGCGGTTGACAGGAACGATCAGCACGGCCCAGTCGAGCGAGCCGAAGGGACTAAAAAAAGCGACTTATATTAAGGGACTGTCTATTTTACATCTGACAGAAATTCAATTGGCTTTCACTCATATTTTCAGCCATCCAGAGTATGACAATTGTCATATGTCCTCTGCTTCTTTCCTGTCCTCCGATTGTCACTGTCCTTGTCCCCCCGCTCTTCCCTCAATATACACGGTATACAATGTAATTACATTGAAAGATCAGTGTAAAATTGCACTGAGATTGCACTAGAAATTCCCTGAACTTATAGTGAAATTACACCATAAATACAGTTAAATTACAGTGTAACTACCCCTGAATTACACTGTAATTGGCTATGTGGTGTACCTGAAATTACAGTAAAATTCCCAGTGATTTACGGAGTGATTACCCCTGAAAAAATACTCCTACATTGTAACTACCACAGAAATTACACTTTAATTACAGTAAAAATTAGGACTGTGATTGCCCTGAAAATTATAGTGTAATTGACCCTGAAATTACAGTGTAAATGTTGTAATTGAACTGTAGTTACGCTCGAAAATGCACTGTGATTACAATGTAATTACCCTGAGTTTACACTGTAATAGGACTGTAATTACACTGTAAATCCTATGAATGTTCACTTGGTTTCAGAAATGAAATGAAACTAAATCTAAGATCATGCATGGAAACAATCAGAGGAACAACAGGAAAAAGAAGGAAGAAATAGCAGAAACAAGACCATGGAAAGCCTACAAATGGGGACCATGAGAAGCCTGCAAAAGGAAGAACAGCATATACTAGAGAAAGAAAACAAAGGAAAAACAGAGAAGAGAAAGTTAAAGAGATGAAGCATTCAAAGAGGAAATGAAGTACTCTACAAGATGAGAGTAAAGTCAATAAGAAACCATTGAGTCTTAATTTGAGAGAAAGCATTGGTGCTACTTATTTTGCTGCTACCACATTTCCAGTGCTTTTATTTTGTTGTTAGCTGCAAATGAAAGAAGTACATAAAGATAAATGACGCCAAGATGAAAAAATAACAGTACATAAAGAACAGAATAAAGCAGTGCTACTTATTTACAGTCTACATCTCTGTTAGTGCACTACAAAACCACTATAAAAAACCACTAGCCAGCTAAAGAAGATTTCAATGCTTATAAGGCACATCCACTATGAGTTCTAAATCCATCTAAGAGGATTTCCACTGAGAAATGGGGAAGAATCGTATATCAAGCTACACACTCAAGGATGCAAAAACTGGGATACAAAAAAGAGAAAGGGCATGGGCTATAAATAGGAAAACCATTGCAAGGCCACTAAGATTTTTTTAAAACATACACTGATAATTACACTGTAAATACAGTGAAAGTCTAATATGAATTACAGTGTAAATCAACTAGCAATTACACTGTAAATCCACTCGCAAATCCACAGTAAATCCAAGACAATTACACTGTAAATTCACCCGCAGTTACACTGTAAATCCACTCTCAAATACACTGTAAATCCAAGCACTGTAAATCCACTCACAAAAAACACTATAATCCACTATAAATCAACTCACAAATACACTGTAAATCTAAGGTAGAAATACATTGTAAATCCAAAAAAGGAATTACACTGCAACCCGCTGAGAATTACAGTGTAAAACAACCGGGGATTACGCTGTAAAATCTACTATCTATCCACTAGAAAATTACACTGTAAATACAGTTAGTTAGACTGAAAATCCACTATGAACCCACTGTAAAAAACAGCCGGGGATTACGCTGTAAAATCTACTATCTAACCTCTAGAAATACGCTTAGTTACACTGTAAAATACGCTTAGTTACACTGAATATCCACTATGGACTACACAGTAAATCACTGTACATCCAAATAGGAAGTACACTGTAAATGACAGTAAATCAACTGGGAAATTACACTGTAAAACCAACAAGGAATTACAGTTACAGAAAACGGTGTAGGGGATTATAAGTTTATAACACCAGAGATCAGGGGGACAAATACACCCAGTAAGTTTGAATTCTCTCAATACAGTATACTGCTACAACTAAACAAGCCAGCCTATGATTAACAACCAGCCTAACTTGAACAACAAACCAATTATAGAATTAACAACTGCACATAGCAGATCCAACGAGGCGCATCCCAGCTAACCCAGCTAACGCGCATAGCAGAGCAATTAAAATGCCTATCTCATAAACGGGGCAGCCTCACACATCTACATAAAAAATAGCTGCGGGGATGGATCACAGCAACAGATCTGACCGACAAACCCATATGCACTACCTAAACAGATCACAGGAACAAAACAAAAACGAGGGTGAAATACAGAATCCGACGAACAGAATTGGCGGCGGAAATGGGGACTGGTGGGTGCGGGACCGAGAGATGCCGCAGCCCCCGCCGGCAGACACAGAAGGGGGGCGAAGGAAGCGGGGCTGCACAAGGCAGGGCGCGGACGAGTCACCACCAAAACAATGGGATCGAGCGGCGAGGCGGAGCTCCAAATCGCCATGGCCATCTCTCGCTCGACTCTGTTCTGAGGTTGCATGTACGAAATGACAAAGGGGAAACGAGGAGGAGCGACGCGGGTATTGCAAGTGGAAATTAGACGGTCAACTATCGGGCCCGATAAGAGAAACTAGACAAAAAAATAAAGAAACACACGGATCTCAGCGCACAGATCGTACGGCACAGGAAACGAATGAAGGAGAATTGTTTTCATCGGCATGTAAATTATCAAAACCGTATATTAATTGACGTACGCGACCAATGAACAGTTTTTTATTACTATCTCGCCTATATGTTTTAAAATTCAAAGTGGAAGTGTAAACTTACGGGAAGAAGTGTATTGTGACGGTGAACCCGACAAAGTCAATTCGTGCTTTATTATTAAGGAGAGATTAAGATGATTATATTCATATTTTTTTAGTTTTGTAGCCACGTGTCCTTTTTTTGCAAGGAGTAGGCACGTACTTTTTCTGGAAACCTGGGCGTGGGCATTTTGGACTCTTTTTATTATGTGCATGTCTAATCTTTCATGGACGTGGGAGCTTAGGACTTTTTCTGAATGTGCAAGTTTAATGAGTTTCATCTATGTGGTGAGAATTGATTTTTCTCTACGTGAGTTTTTTTTGTACGTGTTGTTTTCTTCTATAATAAGACATAGTCTTCTAGCATATCTTATCCATTAAATTTAATATCGAACGGCTATATTAATCTTAATGACGTGAATTAACGTAGACGCTCGAAAGGTGCCTCTAATTAGTATATCTTTTCCTAATAATAAAGCACGGATTGACTTTGTGGGGTTCACCGTCACAATACATTTCTTTTCATGAAAATTTATGCTTTCAATTTAAATATAAAAGATATACACGAGGTGGTACTAATTGGTTAGTCCCTAATTTTTGTCCATCTTTGTCCGTCCGTCCGTCCATCCTATTTGGTCACGTACGGCTGGATCACCATATGTATGGGCCGTGCGTAACCAAAATTCCTCGCCTGGGCCGCACATAGCTTATTTTGTGCATCCCCGCATGGTCCAAGGTGGGCCTTGTGGGATATTTTGGCAAAAAAATGAATTTACTTGCGTCAAGAATTGAACTCATGATCTCTTAGACCATACCATACACACCTACCAACTAAGCCCATATCAATGCATGTGTAATTGGTACGTTTACTTTTCTTATTCAATAGTACCACCTCACCCCCTTACAACGAAAAGCACCAACATATATCTCTACTCCTAATGAAGTAGTTGGTAGTCTCGCTTTCAGGTTTTTTTATCCCATCTCCCATGGTTTTTTTGGTACCTCCTCCCACCTTTGCTGGTTTTTTTTCGTAGATTTTTTTCGTCCCCTCTCCCCACTTCATCGGTTTATTTTCGTGTCACCCTCTCACACAATGAAATAAATCTGAACAGATCAGAACTTTTCATACTGGCGTAAGTTATTTAGTAATGTAGAATCAATCACGAAAAATCTCTAAAGATCAAATCCAAACTAATTAACCTTACCTTAAATCACTCAATCACATTAATTAGAAAACAAATATTTGATTTTCAGAAAAATCGCTCAATCACATTAAGCTTACCTTAACTCACGGATGGTAATCAATCTCCGAACAAAGGAAACAATACATCGAGGGAGTAGTAAATAAACTCCCTTTCTTATGACATGTATATGATCTTCCCTTCCCTCTCCGTTGTCAAACGTTCTTGATTCTTGAGGCCGATGCTTGGCCTGCGTCATTGGGTCGCGACGGTGCCGGAGGACGAGGACGGCAAGGCTGGGTGCCGCGGCAACGCGTTTGCCGCGGCCGGTGAAGGGGCCGAAGAAGGGCGGCTTCCCTGGCCCTGGCCGTGGCCCTGGGAGTTGGTGCGGTGGAAACGACACTTGAAGGACCCGGCGTGGGTGGCCGACACGTAGACGCACTTGGAAGCGGGCCCATGGCCCGCGCCGGACGGCGCTGACGCCGACTCGGGCCACCTCCTTCGCATATTCTAGGAGATGTGACTGACCGATTTACATGAAATTAATTCCCTTAGCTGTGGTGGCAAATATAATACACATAATTCATATTGTTATGCACTAACGTGTGTGTGCGAGGATTTGATGGTAAAAAAAGTCGCCAATATCACTTATTATGTATGAAAATATTAATATTGAACTCTTAAAATTAATGTGGCCTGGTTGCAACGCACCGGCGTTCTTCTAGTACACACACACACACACACAGATATATATATATATATGTATATATATATATATGTATATATATATATATATATATATATGTACATACATACATACGTGTGTGTGTGTGACCTGTTAAGATTTACTAGATGACCCGTTGCGCCGATGGCGCAAAGGCGAGTGCAAGCAAGGTATTGGAAGAGTGTGCATTAAAATATGTAAACACAAAATAAAACATATGAAAATAAGTACGGATTGATAATAGATAGATGGTTGCTGATGTTACATGTTTTACATAAACTAGATCTGCTTAGATTGGATAGGTAATCATGCAGAGGCTTTTGTACGTGCACTTCAAGGCGAAAGCATATATTTCTTTCATCATGGCTGTTTGGAATGCATACCACACAACAGTCTAAGGTATGATAGTTAAACGCATAGGATGGTCTTAGGTGATTACATAAGATCCAAAAGAATGATAAACATAGAAGTCTTGGTAGGCATCAATACTAATGCTAAGTTATATAACAAGGGGCTCTTGGAACTTGCTTATATTGAGTAGACGGTCAGACGCAGTCCCTTCGAAGTGCATTTGAAGGCGAAAGCATATGATTGCCCTTTGTTCAGGTGTGCCCGACCGAAGAAGTCGCTCCAGCGTCTAGTGATGGTGGCCCTTTTGTCAACACCTTTGATAAAGCGGGCAGTGACAGCAGTAGTTCCATCTCCAGTAGTGATTGGCAGTTCACCATTGTCAGCATCCATGTGTGGGAAAACGGAACCCTTAGAAAAGGGAACCACAAAGTACCGAAAATAACAGTAAATGTTAGTTAGTATATCATTTTATACCATGTCATTGTATGAAACAGAACAGAGCAATTGCAAAGGATTACCATTCTTTTGCCGTCTATTGCCAATGTTTCTGTCATGTGGCACACATAGTAGCGATCAGGCGTGGTGGTGTTGTGGATGATCTTTCGCATTCTAAGAACATTATGATTGTAGAGCTTAACTGTGTTGCCCCACACAATGTGGCGACTAAACTCATCTAAGTGATGGATGCCAGGCTCACCTTTGTTAAATTATACAAAGTTATACCATGTAGCAGTTGTTGTGAGAGTTGTTGGAATGAGAAGAGTAATGTAGCTCTTACCACGGAGAATGTACTTCCCAGGCTTTAGATGGATTTTCTTGCCTTTGAACTTTGGGGTTGAGCTTGCTTTTGCGTGGGCCATGAATATACTCGAATGGCTTGTTGTGCTTCCGACATAGTTGTTCATCTGTGATGAATAGTTAAGAAGATCATGGTAAGATAAAATAATGTCTATGATTTGAAACCTAAGTCAGTAGTCATCATAAGTATGTTTTTGAGCATTACCATGGGTAATTTGGCTACCGCTGATATCACTGGTTGTGTCATCCTCCTCTTGTTTAACTACTGTCATCTGGAAAGAAGTAGTAGAGTAATTAAGCTGAATTATCTGCCTTTGGGATGTTTAACAGTGATGCATGTGTCTTAATATAGTGAGACTGATTATTATTGGATATAACTTGACAGCCATTAGTATGAAATTGCAAGTGTATCAGAACTGGACATAAGATGGTTGTCTATGTACTATTTTTTGAAACGAATGATTCATGCTTGCCACATATGTATTCCTATATGTTGATGCAAATGAGATAATATAAAGTATGCAAGAGATTATCTTCTCTATTCCTAATGGACTAGTTGGTAGTCTCCCCCGGTCAATTTTCGTCCTATTAGAGACGGGTTTTTTTTCATTCTCGATCCCACCTCCCACCTCGACAAAAAAAGCCACCTTAGAAGCCAACCAAAACAAGAGAACCTTAGAAGGGAGCAATGCCCCTCGCATGCTAGAGAATCGAACGATAAAAACCTACGAATAAAAAGCAAGGAAAAAAACCCCTCGAGCTCCGACGGGGACGAGCGAGGGTCCCCTCGATCTCAAACAGCCCTAGGTTAGCCCAGCCGCCACGCTCCTTGTCCCGCGCCGCCGCCCAAGGCCCGCTACGCCCCGACCGCTCCATCCACCTCTCCTCCTACCAAGCATCCACGGCCGCCGCCAGCCCGCCGATGGAGGACTGGCCATCCGCCCGGGTCCGGGAGTCCTTCATCGGCTTCTTCGAGTCCAAGGCGCACACGTCGTGGCCGTCCAGCCCTGTGGTGCCCGTCGACGACCCCACCTGTTCGCCAACGCCGGGATGAACCAGTTGAAGCCATGGCCGTCTCCAACCACCCCCGTCTCTGATCCTACCCGAGTACAGGGGAGCCACCGCTGCCGCCGGGGACGAGGTCGCTGTGGAAACTGTCACTACGTCAGGTCCTTCGATCTCTCCCCTTCTAGACACTCCTCACGGCCATTCCCTACATCAAGGAGGAATGCATGTATTTACATCTGACACTAACGCTATGAGGAAGGCGGCCTGAATCCTCCATCCTAACTCAACATGATCGTCTTTTCTCTGATCTATTTGTGTGTTCAACAGTCTCTTCTCTGATCTGGACTCATGCTAGATACAATGGGATTGCAACATGATTTGGCAATGCCTATCTCTTGATGCGATTTAATGACAACTGGATTTCTCACATGTTATGAGTTTATAATCCATACAAATTTTTATTTCATCATTGTCAATATAGTTGGATGATGTGATGGTGATATCTTCAATTTTGACAGAGGAGCGACAGATGGGATCTTTAGCCAGCGGAGGTGATTTCATCTAGCTGCTCAGTTCCATCATGCAGCTGCTGCGCCAAGTACCTCAGTACTCTTCATGCCTATGGTCACCTCACCAAAGCCGGAGCTCCTCCTCACATGCCCGTCGACCATCTGCATCTCCTTCCACCTGTCGCCCAAAAGTAAAATTGCCCTGCTGCCCCGTGCTTGTCCTCTCAGGAACGATTGCATATGCAAATGCAGGTGATGTGCACATATTTGTATGCGTGTATGTAGACATGATTGAAAATTCAGTTTACGTGATGTGTGTCTTCAAAGAATTTGGCAGTTTTGGCACCAGGTTTGTTTGGTCGAACACATCATCCCAAACATAAGTAGAACATGGACAATTATGAGACAGAGTTGATTGATACATGTTCTGATACATGGACCATCAAACCATAGAACTGGATAGTTTTCTTCACTAATTATACCAATTAGCTAGCAACTTACCTTTGAGTTGTTTCCGAACTACTGTAATTGTTAGATACAGCCGAGTTTGAATATTTATTAGTCGTATGTACAGGCTTATCATTGCTGATATTGTTAGGTATGTCCATTGTTTAATGAAGCTTTACAGTTCGTATGTACTCAGCTAATTGTGGTTATACTGATGCTAATCTTGTTCCCCAGTTTATCTCGACATCAAACATTCTAAGCTACCTTTTTGACAGTAAATTGATGAACTAAGAAATGAAGACTTGCTCCAAAAGTAGTAGTGACATTTACTGTGCAGATGATTCCGATAACTTCTCAAACAAGTCCACAATATCATTCGCCCAGTAGATGGCTGGAGAACGCAGAGAGCGCCAAGCCGCCAACGACAACCTCATACAAATGCAACAGAGCAAGGTGATGAATTCTCCCATGTTTCCTAATGTGAATCTTCGCTCGAATCGCTTGATTGTTTGTTCCAGTTTGCTATTACAGTACAATGGTTCCTAATCTGAATCTTCGCTTGAATCGCAAAATTGTGTCCAACCCGAGATTTTAATTACTTAGGTACATGTTTTGGCACTTGATTTTGCTTAACATTGTATACCTTCTTTGAAGGTTATACATCGGGTTGATGCATACACATAAGATGTGCATTTCTGGCTTTATCCCAAGTTAAACCCCAAGTACGTTAGGCTCGTTAGAAATTAAGGACGCATATCAGAAGAGCAATTCATTATTCTTGTAGAAAGAAGAGAATATAGTTGACTGACGTTTTCTATTGTTATCCTTTGTTTGTGTTGGCAGATCACATGTTGGCAGATCACATTATTCTTGTAAACCATTTTTGTTTTGGCAGATCACATGTTGTTAGTTTCCATCCGCTTACACTCTACGAAGACACCACATTCTCAGAATGTATTCTGATGTTACAGAAATAACTTGAGATCTGTTTAAATTTTAATATTATCAGTGTTCTCATCTTATAGTGCTATTGATTTATAATTTTGCATATTCTGTTGGGAAAGTCAATTTGGCTCCCCGGCCCCCAAAAAAAATTGAAATGAGAAAAAAATCAAGACAAATTGTTTTTGTGTACTTAGTCACATCCAAATCCTACATGCAAACTTTGAGTCAAAAATATTAAACATTTTGGCTTGTGAAAAAGAAACAAATCGAACACCGAAAGTTACCCCAAATTTTGATTTTTTTTGCTGACAAAACATCGCAGCTCTGTTTCACATGAAAATTTTCATACATACATCAGAAACTAATACAATCATCTACAAAAAAAATCAGGATTTTTCGAAAACATTTAATTTTTTTCGTGGTACTGTTCACTCGGGAGCATATGCTCCTGGGAGCCAAAACACCAGCCCCGTTGCTTCCTAGGTAATTTTAGATCTATGAAAGTTTTACATTATTGATGTTCTCATTGGACAAAATATTCTGTTTTGGTGAATATCCTCGGTGGTTAGAGCCAAATGTTATCTTATAGTGCCTTGTTGTAGACATAAATGGTTGATTTGGAGAATACCCTCATCGATGATGGTGAACAGCAATTGAAAGAGCATGGCTCTACGAATCTGGTGATTATAATGAACCATATACAAACGCTGAAGAAAAGACTGATG